CACAACCGCCTACCATCCAGCATCGAATGGTTTAGTCGAAAGGTTTCATCGTCAACTTAAAAGTGCTCTTCGAGCACACGAAAACGACAATTGGGACGAAACCCTACCGCTCGTTCTCTTAGGCATCAGAACGAGTTTGAAGGCAGATATTCAATGTTCCGCCGCTGAACGTGTATACGGCACGACATTGCGTCTGCCTGGGGAATTCTTCACACCACGGAGCAGTAATGATTTCGGTAAATCAGACTACGTCCATCGACTGTCTGCGTTCATGCGAACGCTGTCTCCGGTGTCAACTCGAATACAACATCGACAGGTCGCTCTCCCTCGAGAGTTATCTACCTGTTCACATGTTTTCATACGAGTAGATTCGGTACGCAAACCTTTGCAACAGCCTTACGAAGGCCCTTTTCACGTGATCTCTCGTCACGAAAAGACCTTCAAGGTTGATAGACATGGCCGCGTCGAGATCGTCAGCATTGATCGTCTCAAACTAGCACACGTCGATGATAGTGCCCTACCCGATAACTTGAGACTCAATGCTAGACCTATCAAACCTTCTAGCGGGATCTCTACGTCTACCTCGTATCCCACGCTAGATACATCAGAGACCTCGTTCTCACGTCCCGGTCAACAGCACGCGTCATCTGCACCATCTACGGACGAGACTTCCGTCTCACGTCCGGATCAGCAGACCACGCCGCCCTTGACCTCGGATGAGATCGCAGGCTCACGAAGTACGAACGAGACCACCATCTCACGTTCCGGTCGCCGAGTACGATTACCCGTACGCTTTCGCGACTAAACGCACAGTCAATAACGGATACGGTGTAGGATTATTCCTATACTACACGCATGCTACACTTTTCTTTTTTTGATTTTTTTTGTGTCCTGAGCCCACGCCTCTGACCATCGCCCGTTTGATAACGTCGACTTCAGTCAACTTTGGCCAAAGCTGGTTTGGCCACCCATGCTCTAGTCAACGCACTCAGTCGATTATCTGGTCTCGAATTCGCTTGGCATACGCTTGGTCGTTATGGTCGCGTCCGGTTTCTTGGCTCAACGTGGTTTCGTCCTACGTCTGCAGCGTTTTCTGGTCCACATCCCTACGAACGCGATCTTCAGATCCTGGATACAAACCACTCCGGTGTGGTATGCTAATTCGACCAACAAATACAGCACACTTCTCCTGGTACCGTTCTGCGCAAAAGACCTTCGTTGGCAACTCGAGGATCAACGATCACTTCCTGTTCCGCCAATTTCCTCCGTCCTACAACCGCATTTCTGCCGATCAGTCCCACGAATCAAACCGCTAACTATCGAAAGTGTAAACCCTTTCTAGCGGGAGGCTCCTGTAGTGACCTACTTTTGTCAACAGAACGCGATTGGTTCGATGAAAACAATTATTATTATAACCAATTGTACCAGTGACTGTTTTACTGTGCTCATTTGTTTAACTGCGCTAATGACAGCCATTATACTCACTCTCCCGTTGACTTTGAACTTGTACGAATCCGGTTACGCTCAGTAACCAAACTTGTACTCCTTTGACACGATCTCGGTATTCTTTCGATACCACGAGATCGCCAACAAATACATCTCGACTACAGCCATCATCTGCCTTCTGATTTTTGGCCTACCGGAATCTTATTGGTCTATTGGCACGTAGTTTTGTAGCGGTGTTCATAGTCAAGCTCAACTCGACACCACGCTACAAGTTGATTAGTACTGATGGGTTCCATCCCACTGATTGTTCAACAACGATCCATAGTGACGCAGTTTGGTTTGTGAACGACTGATCTTTACAGAATCCGGCCTGTCGATCTCGGAGTTGGGTGTCTGGTGATACTTCATTCAGTTCAACATCCGTCTGTCAAGAATGTTTCCTGTTACCGATTTTAGTGTGATTCCTCTGTGGTTCTCACATTTGTTCAGATCGCCTTTTTTTGGTATATTGATGAGGTGTTCTTCTCTTAGCCTATTGGCCCTTGTTCTTTCTCCCAAATCTTCCCGGATAAGACGTGGAGCATGTTTTCAGTTATTTCTATGTCTGACTTTAGTGCTCCGAATGGTATATTATCAGATCCAGCTGCTTTCACACTCTTGATTTATCTGATTGTCATCCTGACTAGTTTGATCGTTGGTGAGGTGACACCTATAGGAATGTCTGTGTATGGTGCTTCGATGTCCGGTGGATTTAATGGAGTAGGCCTATTCATGAGTTCCTCGAATTATTTTACCCATCTGTTTCTCAGTTCTTGAATCTCGGTGATTGTCTTGCATTTTTTATGCTTGATGGGTCTCTATGGTTTCCTGTATTTTCGAGACAGTTTCTTCGTTGTGTCATATGGTTGTTTCACATTTCCTTCTCTTGCAGCTTTTTCCGCAGTCGTTGTTAAGTCTTCCACGTATTTCTACTTGTCATCTCCAATGCTTCTTTCCACTTGCTTGTTTGATTTGGTGTATTCGGCTTGTGCGTTGACTTTCTCTGTTCTTGTTCGACTTGTTGATTGCTGTCTGCTTGTTCTTCATTTACTGAATCTGGTCCAGGGATTCAATAGGGATCCATCCCTTGTGATGATATTTTTTGCGGCCCAGAATCTCCTGACGCATTGAAGTTAATGCTTCTTTGATTCCTTTCCAGTTGTTCTACATAGTAGTTTTTTTCTTCTTTCAGTAGATCCTGTAAGGCTTGGGATCTGTTATTAAGAGTTATCTTAAAATCGTTGAGTTTGTCAGTATGTCAAAGGAAGGCTGTGTTTGACCTTTTTACTTCTGTTTTTCCAGTCGTCGAATGCTACTTTAGCTTCAATTTCATCTTGGTCACAATGAAGTGGTGATCTAAATCCACATCAGGTCCTCTCCTGGTTTCCACGTCTTCCATTGTCTATCTAAATTTTTTGTTATTACAAGTATGAAATATCTGGTTCTCTGTAGTGTGGTCTGGAGAGACCCACGTAGCTTTGCGTATGTAAACGTGTAAGAATATTGTGCTGCCTATAACAAATTATTTGAATGCACACAAGTTTGCGAATCTCCCACCACACTAGTTCATTTGTCCCAGTCGGTGCATGCCGTACAATGATATCTTCATATCGGTGTTGTCCATTCCGACTTGGATGTTCAGGTCCCCCATCGGGATGGCCAGGTCCTTTCCTGGGCACTTCTGTACGATCGGTTGCAGCCTCTCGTAAAAATGGCGTTTATCTTCTTCATTGTTATCACTAGTGGGTGTATAACAGTGGATAACATTCATTGTGATCCCCTCCGTTGTTTTGAATGATGATTTGATAATTCTGGATCCATAGGATTCCCATCCTATTGATGCTTTACGTGCTTCTTTGAAACACAGTATAGAAAGATACAATTTACTTGGCGAATACTTTTCTGTGCACCACTCACTTTAATATGCACCTTTTCTTTATATTTCATGGAATTCTCGTGAACTAACAATGGCTGTTGTATGAACAGAATTTAGTGTTGCAAAAATCACTTGTTCACTACTTGTATATCTAGCATCATGGAGTGTCTGAGTGAGATTGCTTACTTAGAGTCTGCTGCTGGTATTCATTATTGCAATGAGATGCTGGGAGGATTACCCTACTCCCACGAACTGAAACATACGTGCACTTTAATACAAAGTTATTTGGTCTCCTTGAGTTGATTTCATTAAATATACATGCAACAGATAGGATGACTACATTGAGGTTCTCACTAACTTTAAATTCTTATTAGATTACTAATAGGTATTTTTAGATTTGTGGAGGGTGCCCATGACGTACTGAGCTTTAGTGTCAGTTGTAAGACCGAGCTTAAACGCCTTGCCAAAAGATCGATGGACTTTTAGACGTTTAAATGTGACAGAATTGCGGGACTACATAGGCCAGATAGGCACTAAAGTCTATCTTACGTTTGATGTGCATGACTAATTTCGCAAACTGCATGCATAACATAGACAATTGACCTCTGGGAACGCACTATGCGAATGATGATAACTTAAAATGCCATCTTATTGTCAAAAATGACAGCAGAGAACAACACTTACTGGTAGGTTGTAAGCATTAATTCTGTCGGTTTAACAGTGGTATTATATCCAATTTTCAATTATTTCAATTAGCTTTACTCGGCATATGAAAATATTGTACTCTTTTCTTCACTCTTAAAGGATATAAATTTTGAGGAGAGTATCTGGAGGAGAATCACCTAATCAATTAGGAGGCCCAAACCCAAGACCTATCAGGAGAGCCTTAAGCCACTGGGTTCTTATATTTTATCGTGTAAGAGACATAGTCAAGAATTCCGAGTGACTTAAAAAATCTTAAACGTCCGTAGTCATCATATCGGACACCCAATAAATTTACTCCCAGACAATAACCTCATAGGTGGAAAATGATAAACTGGACTGTAGACATTCATTCTACTGCTTACAAGAAGTCGAGTTTTTGATCCACTACCTACAGAAGTGGTCTGAAAGGTTTCTCGGGCGTTCCTAATAACCAGGACATCTATATTCTTAAAGACTCAGAGCAGGATCTTTTAGACATCTCAACTCTGTCCGGTCGCAGATTAGGTGATCTGATTTCGATGTATAGGATACTAATAAGTCGCTTTGAACCTAATATATTACCTCCTTATCTTGCTACGAGGTCAGTACAACTTAGAGGAAACACGAGGGGAGTACAAAGGCTAAGAACAAATAAAGTACTTGTGGTACACAGGTTTCCACACCAAGTAATCAATTCTTGGAACCTGTTACCCGAAGAGATGCTCTTTGACCCTCAGATGAAATTATTCAGGAGGAGACGAGGAATTACCAGGAAAGGGATAACATAGGCCTTTGGCCTTATGTCCTCAATACACAAATATGTTTTATACCACTTAGTTCCCACCTAGAGTCATTAACGTTTCATTACTTTTAGTAATGGAGGCTCTTCAACCGCAAGTTTGTTCAGTTCTGATCATAACCATTTTAGCATATGAGATATTTGTGTGATTTAATTGAAGATTGAGCAGCAGGCGGCTGTGGAATGACCTTACAAAGTGCATGGTTCTTAAAAAGTTTAAGTCCTTGTGTGCTGTATTTGTTTGTGTTGTGGGAAAGTAAGTTGTTTGGTTATATTTAAATCACGAGTAGAAATCGTCATCATTCTGAACTCAACCTTATTATAGCTTGTGCTTCTGGCTAGGAAATTTCATTATTATTATTATGGACATACATACTGTCTAACCCAATCCTCCAAAACTTTTGGGTAAAACTACAAATTTTCATATGAATTTTGGGAAAACCCGGAGATTCCCTCGAAATGGGTAGATAGGGTAGTTTCTCATTGAATTGACATTTCACCTCATTGATACATAAATAAACAAGATGAAGTTTAAAAGTAAAATACGTAGGCTGCTAGACCACAAGAACTCACAGGAATATCCCTAAAACAGTAGTCCCATGTTCGTACTTAAAATCGTCAACCTATCTTCACCTTAAGAACCACTCTTCAGTTAGCTAACTGGATCAATCTAGATTGAAATACCATAATATTCTTGCAAATTTAATAATTGCAGCATCTGAAATAAGACTTGAATATGTCCTGTTAAGACACCTGCTTTTTATACGAAATATGACGTTCTTATTTTGTATGGCGATTACGTTCTTTTCATTTCCGTATGTAAGCATATAGTGTTTCTTTCCAATGCTCAAATAGGTGATGACGGTAATAAAGCATTCATCGTTTTTGGTGGATTGCAAATGAATAATTAAAGCCAAATACAATAACTTGTCAATTGGGAATGATAGACTACAGTTCAATTGTATTGTTCCGTTGTCCTATAAGAATGTTGCTGATTGACCGTTTTCAAATAGACTGTTAGGTCGGAGCTATGTTAGTGCGTTTATTGATTGCTAATTAATTTAAATGCCATGCGTCTAAAATACCAGAGAATTCTTGAGTGTACTTAGATACAAATGTTTGCCAGGTATATGTAAAAACTTTTCGTGTAGTCTTTTTCGTTCATTTTCACACCAGTATATAAAAATTCATTATTCTCCGGTAAATATGAAAAGCGAGTGATGTTTTATGGTAATCTACAGTATGCAGTCTTTGCTTGGTGCCATCGGGAGGCCAACTTTAAAGAGGTTACTTTCCAGATATGCAGTTTAGTACAAGAGTTGGATTAAGACATCTGATTGGGTTTGCGTTAGGGCTGACTTGACCGAAGTAACTACTATGAATTCGGTGTTCATTTTGTCGTGTTAATGAGGTGTGGTAACTTGGATCGATGCATATATGTGCCTGGTCCTACTTTGTAGCTGACTGACTGAAGGCGTGGGTTAAGCCCATATTGAGTGAATGTAAAAAATTCACATATCCTCTTGGGATTTGGACGGTCATGTGCAATGCACCTAGCATCAGCCTTTACCGGAGTACGAATTACTAGTAAAAGTAAAAGTACATCCACTCAATGTGCTGTATCCTCAGGGAAAAAATGTGACGTGATGGTTAGTTAATTTGCTATAACATCATATGTTTGGGGACTATGAGAGATCATTAAAAAGCGTTTTGCACCTATAAACGTCATCAAGGTGTAAAACAATCCAGTCTCAATATAGCATCTATGCTCTGTTTTAATAGTTAGTTGGCAACCAAAGTGGATGTCAAAACGTGTTGTCATTTTTTTTTTGATTCCTTCTAACTATGGAACGCTACATGTAAAATCCTGAAGGGTGATACGTCATTTTTGTGGAGAGTAGAAATAAGTAGTTTTACGTTAGGTAGTTTCAGTCCAGCTAGATAGTTCATACAAGCATTATCAACCAGAAAAAATAGAATAAAAGCAGTAAACTAAACGAAATCTTTGTGATAGGTATCTTTCTATATATATCCTTGATTAATTCCTAACGTACTGATTTACATAGATTTTTGGACTACTCTATTATACATATACCTCCACAACAATGAAGTATATGGTATAAGTAGGGTAGAATTTTTCGATCAACCGGACATAACGTGACTCATAATTTATGCTTGTAATAAATTAAAGCGTGAATTATCAATATGATTGGAAGTTTTGCTAGCATGTTCAATTCTACCTGTTTTCACATTGGATGTACCTATAGTTTCACTATTGGATTGCAATATAATTGTTGGCATTATAATTTTTCTGATCAGTGTCAAGAGGAAGAAAGTGATCGATTTACCGTATATACAGTGATATTAAATTTGTTTCACTAGTAGTTTATGAGAAATTACTCGAAAATTTACCTGTAGAATGCTTCATATATAAGGTGAATTTTAAATAGAAGGTCTACATTTTTGATATTGAATTACCTCACTTGGATAATGTAGTAGTTTTATGCCATGTATCATTTCGTTATGTTTCACTTGACTACATAGGTAAGATGTATGAGGTTTTTGCAAAACCTTTCTCTTTTTCGTAAGAGGGTTATATTTTTGTTAACCAAATATTTAGTTTGCGATCTGAAACACTTTACTCAACCAACTTTTCAGTTCACACAAAAGGTGTTTTTTATAGAATTCATCCACCTCTATTATACGTTTATTCCAATGGTAAAATTTAACTGTTACTCTGCTTTTTAGGGATTCCACGTTTTGCATAGCTATTATCTGTAAGACGACATTTTAATCTATAAATCCTATGAAGCAAGAATGATTCTTCCCTCCTCTGTGCCTAAGCGTAAAAAGGCAGAAAAGGAACTTTTTAAGGATACTCATACCATAGAACCAAATGAAATCATTTGTAAGGTACAAGCTACTTTATAAATAAATAATATAATCTCCAGTTGGTGAAATCATGCGGCAACTATTTGTTCACTGCGATAACAGAACAGGGAGAGGAAATTTTCGTATCCATTCCAGAAAGATTTCGCAATACATTCTACTTTGCTCAAGGTGGTTTTGTTATCTGTTCACCGCTGGATAGCAAAAAGGTGAAGGGAGAAATTCGAACTGTGTTACAGAAGGATAATATTAAGGCTCTGATTAATAAAGGCCGTTGGTAAGTGTATAACATATTAATAGTCGTGCCATAATTTTATATCGTCTTATTCGTAAATTATTTACATTACTTATTATTATTATTATTATTATTATTATCAATAATGTCATATACTAACCACCTACATATAGGTGGTCAGTATATGACATGGTGTCGTGGGATGAAAGAAAGCTGTAAAGGACTAGCTTCTGTTGGTCGTTCACGACTCCCTGGCTGGGGTCCGAGAGACGGTGTAACACAGTGGCTAGAGACGTTATCAGATATGGCTCAGAATAGAAGCCAATGGCGATCCTGCTGTAACCTTCTTTTACTTTCTTCATAAAAGTGGTTGCTTCTTCCTTAACTGAAAGATTTCTTCTGATTGTACCTTTCCGTTCCCCCCATTATTGTTCTCTCTCTCTTTTTTAATAATTCCCCACGTTCATTACTTTTTTTCTTCTCTTCAAATTATCATTGTTTTGTGTGGCGCATATATATTTGGTGCCCCCTTTTGCCGATATTTGTGTCCAAATAAATAAATCAATAAACTAATAATGTGATGGAATGCCAGAATGTAAAAACTAAGTGTTTATTGCTGAGTGTTCGGTTTTCAGATGATTCCTGTAATCCGCACTCCTGTTTTCTGAACTGAAATTACCAAATGTTGACGTTTTATCCCGCATTGGCTACTAGCCATAATAATAAAATAATCGTTTGACAACGCGTTGTAAGTTCAACTGAAAACGTACATGTCACATTGTTTAAGATCCTTTTTCTCAGGTCAGAAGCTATATTCCCATGCACTTGCATGGGAATTCATTTTCTACATACAAATACTAACCAGTCCTAACTATTATATGAAATAGGTTGTTTCTTTTCCGTACTTCGTATGTTTTTTTCTGTGTCACTTCGAAACCAACTTCAGTAATTAAGATATGAAAAACTCTGTTTATAATATGATAATTAATTTTAGCTTCAGGTCGTTTGAAACTGGTGAGAAGCTTTGAAATATAGTGCATTCATGTTATCTTGGAAATCTTTTTCTTCTCACTTTATTAAAATGTATCAAGGATTCAAAATGTAAGAAAGAACTAGCAGTTAGATCTATCTATCCTATATTTCTATCAACTAACATTCGTTAGAACTAGACATTTAATATTTAGAAAAAATCATCACGTAACCTGAGTGTTGTATGGGACATGTTACTCGCGTTTCATAAAACGAATACACTAGCTGTTTTCATCTTTTCAAGGTGTAGAATATACTTAAAGATACAGTAGTATTTCTAAATTACTCTATAGTGTTTTGCTAGGTAGGCGTAAATTTATTTATTGTTGCTCTTATTAATAATTGGTATTCCTGACTAATGAATAAGTCAGCGATAACCTACACTTCATAATCACTGTTCTCGATCGGACAGGCTGTAATCAAGTTTGTATGCACCGTTTGGCTTAACATTTTCAAAAGTTATGCGTAAATTTGTAGCTACTGACAATCTATAAATAGTACAAATCGTAGTACGAAACATTTGGTCATTGAATTTTCAGTAACTCAATACATGTCTACACATTGACAATCTTTGAAGCAGTACGACCTCTAGAAAGCAACAATTTAGGCTGCGTGGTTGATCAGTTGTCATCAGCCTCGTACTCTAATGCTACCCTAAGACATGACCTTGATTAGTTAACGTCCTTTATGGTGGATTGCAATCGAAATATTTATAAATTTTTTATAGTCATCTAATGAATCGCCATTAAAATACCATTAAACCAAACCTTCAGAAGAATAATCTTTACCAACATCTGTTGTCAAAATCTTGGGCGAGCATTTGTTATCCTACTGAAGGGCTTATCTTTCGTTTTCTTGACCCTCATGGCCACTTCTGGCTTCGCGTAATTGTTGACTATGTCCAATACACTCCTCGATAATCACTAATAAAATATACGGGAAACTGGGCTCTGAGTGTGTTAAATACAATTATTATAAATCATATACTTAATCACATATATATCCAGCCTTTTAATACTTCTTTACTTATGTTTTGATGTGAACTGAAATTCTGGTATAGCTCTAATTAAAGAATATCAGAAGCCACAGAATCATTAATTAATATGAAACGTAGCCCTATTAATCACCTTTTATTCAGTGAATCAATCTTTTTGAGTGGGTTCTAGCATTAATACCTGGATCCCTCAACATAAACAGTTAGAATTGATTCCAACCTCTACTCCAGTAACTGAAAACAATTCTTCGTTATACATTCATTTTGTGCTGACAACATGTACGACTTAGCCTACTAGTCCCTGGATTACTTTTATGCTTTAGTTACACTCTTTAATTCTAATTCTATTTATATGTCAACATCTAGTGGTAGTGATCGCACCATCAACTATCGTTTTGAGTTGTAAGTATTTAATCATAGTTTTAATTGCTAACTGTTCCGTCGGAAAAAGTACAACTGGTGGTTTTATTCACGAATTGGTCACAGCTTTTTAAATGTTATGCTGAGTGATTAATTTGTGTTTAGATTTCTTGTTGTACTATTTTAATTACCAAATAAATTCAACCGCTTCTTTGGCTGAATAATGTTTATTATTTTTCCTGTCACTTTTTTATAGGCCGGAAACTTTTACTGTAAACATATCAAAAGAATCCTCAATAAAGAATGACAATTATATCCCAGAAGATATGCTTCCATCATTATCTGATAGTTCTGACACAGAAAGTGAATGTATATCTGAAAATGATTAAAAATTGTATATATATTTGTGTGATTGATTTCACCATTTATTAAAAGTAAAATCTCGAAGTGTTTTGAGAAGCAGTTTCTTGAATTCGTCATTGTTGTTCTCTTTATCAATCTCGTCTCCCCAGTATATTTACCACTTATTTTCGAAGTGTTTTGAGAAGCAGTTTCTTGAATTCGTCATTGTTGTTCTCTTTATCAATCTCGTCTCCCCAGTATATTTACCACTTATTTTCGTTGCCTATTAATACTGGCAACGAGTTGATGTTTTAACGATTATAGGTTATTTGAATAAATTTAATCCTAACAGGATTTTTTAGGCTTAACTCTAACTAACATCACTAATATTAAGAAGTGGTCGCATAACCATTGTCAACAAAGTTATTTGATGTTGATCTTTTACAATACCGAATTTTGCTCATTTGAATCACTTTAAATTTTTTTGCCGTTTGTGTTTCTGTTATGCGTTATGAAGTCAGAATTTTTTTTAAAGTAGGGTTCTGTACGCTGAGTAGTGGTTGGATTGAAGAGATGACCTATTGTAAGCGTTGAGATATATGGACATAGTGACAATACTACTAAGATTACGGCTGGATCCATATCGGGAGGTTCTAAAGTTGCCACAGTAGAGTGTATAATAGCTATATTGGGTTATTATGTGTTAAATACAAACAATTTAGTTGATTGTGTAATGTGTAGTTTCTAGACGTGATTTGCAGATTTGTTGAGATTGAAATATGTATATAAATCTCCTTTTATGTTTAGAGCTGAAATCAATCAGTTTCTTTTGGTATATCCTGTATCATGCGTGGATTACCTCTATAATGTCATTAAGTCCATGGGTGAACATTGAGGTAATAATAAGGCATATTTATAATACTACGTATAAATAATTTAATAAGGAAAGTATTAACATTCAGAATTTATCAATATTGAATCTCAGTGTTCAGAAATCGGTTACATTATCGAAATCCTAACCACATAGGTAGAGAGTACCCTACAACTACTTAAACAAAAATAGAATTAAAACACAATTATCAAATAGCCGGAAATACACATGTCACTTTTCATAATTAAAGAAATTTTCAAAGAGTAGCATACATAAAAAATAACAATAAGTTTGGCAGAAAAAAAATACTAACCCACCCGAAAAATTAGGCAAACCGTCTTAAATAGAAATGTAAACAGATAGGATAATTGCTTAATGCAATAAATGGAAATCTCTCATGATAAAAATATGAAACTTCTATGAATCCAGTGTTCATCTTGCTGTGCTAATGTAGTATGACAACTTGGATCGATGCATGTATGTGCCTGGTCCTACGTTGTAGCTGACTGACGGACATGAATGAATAATGTTTACAGTTTCATTTATGAATCGACACCTACAAAGAAGGGTGATAGTCTTGATTATTCTATTTGTTTTTTTAATAACTATCCACTTAAGCATTAAAATGTCCTAAATGTATGTGTCTGGTCATCGATTTTTTCCTAATAAGTATTTTATGCTTCCTCACCACTCTACTCAATTTTTTCCTTTAACCAGTAATTTGTTTCAATTAAAATGAAAAGTAAACGCGAAAATAATGCAATTATAAATTTGAAAAGGATTTCGTATGTTAGGTAGTTTTACATTGAATAATACTGTAAGAAATATATTTCTCAATAGTTGAGATCATGAGTCGATTGAAACTTGATCACCATGGAGAATCTGGAAGCACTGGATGAACGTTTCGTTCTATTGTGGGACTCCTCAGTAGTGCTCATCCACGATATTTTTATAAATATCAATCAGTAATGATGAGTTTTAATAAAATCTACCGGGTCTACCGTACAATTTGACAATGAGTGGTATACATAGAGATTGGACAAATTTTTATTCTTAAATGAACCTTTTGTTTTTCTAAAAAGGAATTCTGTAATCTTAATAGATACCACGGTTAAGTTCATTTATGAGAATCGAGAGATATATTATAAATATTTTTAAAAAGCAGTTGGTCATCCAGTTATTTCATGGAGATCTAGTAAACTAATAAGAAAATTGTTTTAAACAATTACTTGCTCACACAAAGTGATCTTTCTTAATGATGATAAAGATATTTATATTAACTAAACAATATCTCACATATTCATCATTCTAAAACTTTCATCTCATATACTTGAGTTAAGAGCTAATATTGTTCAGAGTTTCATATATACTGACAAATTTTCCACCTATTCATTATAATCAAATATCCATATATTAGATGCATTTCATCTGGAAATAGGACAATGTATCGGTTCATGCACATTATCTATCATTTGGAGGATGATATTTAGGAATTTATAACTCCATGAAACGGACTTTTATTATTATTATTATCTTAACACAAGTGATTGATAAATTATTTTTATAAACCATTTTAATCACTACAATTAATTTAAGTTAACATTTCCCTCAGTTTTGACAATAGAGGAGGATATGTTTTGCAGAATATACATATATATTATCAAGTTGCCAATGAGCACAATTAAGTGATATATGAGAAATATTGTTTTGACGAAAAACTCGGTAGTTCTAGATATCCTATCGTGTATTCAGGGCTCAAATTTCACCTACTGAAAAGTTTAAAACTAATATTAAATAAAAGGGGTATTGTGGATATTATAGTAATTTCAATGGTTAAGATCATGAGTCAGTTAAAGCTAGACCACCATGGAAAACCTGGGAGCACAGGACGGCCGTCTCGTCCTATTGTGGAACTCCTCATAGGTCGAAACAGCCCTCCAGTGCTCCCAGGTTTCCCATGGTGGTCTAGCTTTAACTGACTCATGATCTCAACCATTGAAATTAATAATATATAGTTATTCAGTTCTCCTCGTATAACCTACATGAATGTGATAGAAAAAGCATTTTCAAACTGTTTTGTTCATGCAGTGAACTTATATGGTGTATTAAACCATATCTGCATTGACTCATTTAAATTTACTAGATCACTCACTAGTCGAATGTTTTCTTTATTAAGATATGTTGCAATTTTCGTGTGATCCGTTTCCATCACAATGAAATGTGTACACATTGATGATCTAAATGTTGTCGTGCGATTGTAATTTTTAAGTATGATCTCTAAAGTAATTCATTAAAAGTCGATGTTTTAACAACCACCGGATCCTAATCCTAGTGCTCCACAATGCATTTTTTATTATCAGAATTGAAAACTATTACAATGTCTTTTTTATTGAAGTTTATAAATGACTGAAATTATTTTCGTTGCTTCATGTTTTCATCCGTTAGTTGAATGAGTAGAACGAAGCTTTTTTGAAATTTTATATTATTGGTGTAAGTTTTCTGTAGAACTTAGGTGTACATTTTGAATATTCTACAAACAATGGTTGATCGAATATGTTTCTCCCACCAGAAGTCAGTGAAACGCTACTATCTAGACATTAACTTCTGTTGTAGTGAACAAGAACACCAGTGGGGACAATCGAATGTATTTGACACAACATTACGGAGCATCTCTGCAAAATATCAATCCATCGTCTCAAACTTCACCGTCCCTTTTGCAGATATAAGTCCATTGTCTCAGATTTCATTGTTTATACATTTTCATACCAATTGCGTTCCGTTTCCGTTCTTTCCTTATCGATCTTCTACTGAAATACATTCTATATCTGACCACCGTTATATACTACTTATGTGGATATAAGTAATCCACACCACACTATGTTGATTGGTTTTCTGGAAAATGATATAACGCTGCTAAAAATTGGTTGATAGATAAAAATACTATATAATCTTACCTCTCATATTTCTAAATTTTGTTCAGTGGAATAGTTCAGTTTAATGTTATCGTCTTATTTTCATCATGCTTGGATGACACGGTAATCAATTATTGACAAGTAACATATTAAAAGTTATTTACTATATTCTAATTAACTAACACATAGAATAATTTGCACATAACTTGGGCCCTATATCTTGAATTTATAGCCACTTATGAACAAGGTAGTTGTGTAATTCCAGTAAACTTCATACATTTTCATAATTTCAGATTCATACTACTGATTACTTCATTCCAAAACCTCCACTTACATTCGAGTTTACATCTAACATCTCAAATGCTCTAATAAGTCTTTAGTTATTTTTGTGTGTTAATAATACTATTTAGAAAGACAATGAAAATTTCATAAGTAAACTAACCAGTTCAGAGAATATAATACATTTAACATCTTTCTGAGCTACAAATTTGTACTATTTTCAGTGCACTGCTGAGGAGTCCCGCAATAGGATGAAACGACCATTCAGTGCTTCCAGGTTTTCCATGGTGGTCTAGCTTCAACTGACTCATGATCTCAACCATTGAAATTATTTCATGAGCACTAACTATCCGGAACATTTAGTAACAAATGACCTCTTCATATGATTTAATCCATAATATGATTTCCTACATAACATTTACAATAAAAGCATCTACTTTCAATGATCAAATTTACCTTACAACTAAGTATATAAGTATTTCAACTAATATTACATATTGAAATCTATTCCAGTCTTTAGTATTACGTAAACATTCAATATAATATTCGAATTTATTCAAACTAATAAATGTTGTTTCACGGAAACATTTCAATCTTTGTTAAAGATTAGCTTATATAAACTCTTATCAGTTTCAATAGTTGAAATCATGAGTCAATTGAAGCTAGACTACCATGGAAAACCCAGTTTAACAAATGTCAACTAATTAAGCAAATAAGTAATATGATAAATATTTATCATATTCATGTAAACAAAATATAGGTTATAAGGTAATAAAATATGTCTGTCCATTGATAATTGATTGACCTTTAGCCTGTATAACCGATAATAGAATAACTTAACAATAAATGTGACCTACCATTCAATATTTTATCGTCAGTTTATTGGCTTTCACTAAAAAAATTACAATTTTATGATAAAGGTTCAAAATCTATCAATGTCTGATTTTATGAATTTAGGTGTTGTGGAGATTGTCAAGTTTTTGATTGAGATCATGAACCAATTGATGTTAGACCACCATTGAAAACCTGGAAGCACTGGACGGCCGTTGCGTTCTATTGTGGGACTCCTCAGCAATGCGCATCCACGATCCCGCTCGCGGGATTCGAACCCATGGCCTTCAGCCTCGTGCGTGAATGCTTAGCCTACTCGGCCACTGAGCCGGCATCCAACGGTGTTAATGTCTGATTTACAAAAACAGTACTATAATATACAGGTTGAATAACAGAACTGTATCATTAATCAGTTTAGAATACGTTGAGAATTTTCGCAAGAAAGAATTCATAATAATTCTTAAATGTAAATAAGTAAACAACCGCTGCAGTTGTATCAGAATCTATTCGAGCTAAGAATAATATCTAAAAATCATCAAGTTATAAGGCTTTGAATTTTCTTATTGCTTGTGTTAA